GGCCCTGTGCGGGACCCGTCCCCCGCACTCGACCGCGCGCGCGCGTTGCGCGCCCCGAGGGGCCGGGCCCAGCCCCCCCAACCGCGGCCGCGGTCAAGGGGCGCCGCCAATGGCACGAAAGTGATCAGCCACCACTTGCGGAGTTACAAGATGGACACCTTCGACAGATCTAGCGGCTGAGAGAGAGAGCCACGTCGGCACCTTCGTGGTGACTTGCCGGCAAGTGTGCCGAGACCGTACACGCACGGGGGAAAACGGACGCGAACGGACGCGGCCGAAAAACGAGTTGGGCACAACGTCCGACATGGGATACAGCCTCGATCCGACGACATCATTATCTTGGCTACGACCGCCCTCGCGAGGGCGTCCATGCAAGAAATGCGTACCGGGCAGCCGAGATTCGAGAACGAGCTGCGTAACAGGCGGCCTCACTACGAGGATAAACTGCGCAACGGGCAGCCCGAGGACGAGAACCACCACCTGTACGACACCAAGTGCGCCACCAACGTCGACATCAGGAACGACGTGCCCGAGCGGCCCAAAGGGGTTACGACATGCGTCGTCGTGGAAATACCGATGGACAACGGCCGCGCCGCCCACGACGTTTGGGTCGCCGGTGATGGGGTGTCACGCGCATGGGGGGCAAGAAAACACCCTTCTTGCACGCTTAACGGGCCCTTTGTTGCACTACACCTTTTTGTAAATCCTCGGTGCCGCCATCTGGCCCGCCTTTCGCTGCGTGGTGAACGCCGCGGTGCGTTGCATGTGGGCCACAGAGAGCTCTTCTCTGACCGGCCCCGACCTGAGGGGTTACGTGGCGGCACGAGGGCCGCGCGCGCGGCAACGGCGCGCAGCAAAAAGTGGATGCTCTTGTTCGGTTCCCTTTATGCAATGCAGCACTGGGCCCCTTTAAGGACACTTTCGAGCCACGTTTTGACCCACTGGGGCAGTTGAGGGGCATATATGGGACACTTTCATGCAGTGCAAATTTCGGCTGCCAGCCAGTTTCGCGCATCCAAATGTCTGACCAGGTGGCGTTCGTGCGGTGCGCAGACCGCAATTCTCTGGTGACATCAGCAGTTGCGCCTCGAGCTTGCGGGCATGCCGATCGTCGCACACGTTGCGAGCAAGGCCTCCGTTTCCGATTGCTCCGTTTGGGATACGTGCGCAGACCCCCGAGTTGCGTGACCCCCCATCACTGGCGAGCTGAGACGAGTGCGACCACGACGCCTAAAACGAGCACGGCGAGTACAACTGCTACAACGAGTACACCGCACATGGTTTCCTCACCCTGCCACCAGAGCAACGGGGGCCCGAAAGTGCGATTGATTGATGATTTCACTGCCTCGCTTGTGAATTCGGCGACAGCTGTAGGCGAGCCAATGCCAGTGGATACGCTGGATACTTTGGTGTCCTTGGCTGTATGGCTTGCCCGTGGCCAGCCTGCAGATTGCGAGTTCCTGTTCAGGAAAGAGGACTTTAAGGGTGCATTCAAATCGCTCCCGCTCCTGTCTCAGCACTTGCCTTTTGCAGTTGTGACTTGGCAAAGCGCCGCTTTGCGCGGCAAAGGTTTACAGTTGCTATGTTGCCCATTCGGGTCGCGAGCTTCTGTATATAGTTGGCATAGACTGGGCTCGTTTCTGCAGGCGCTCCTGGCGCGAGAATTGTACATTGCGTATCCTCGGTTCGTTGATGATTTATTTTCGGCGGACCGCGCCCAGGGGGCACATAGGGCGCTCACGGGGCCAGCGGGCACCGCGGCGTGTGCGCAGCAGATGCTCCAGCTGACCGGCTGGGAACTCGAGCCGAAGAAACGTGTGCACAACGTCACTGCGGCTACCATGCTCGGCGTGGAAGTAAGCTCTGTGCCAGGTGCTCTCATTTTCTGCATTGGAAAGCATAAGAGAGAGAAGTGGCTGGCTGTTATCACGCGTGCACTCAGCGCGAATGTCCTGCGCCCTTCCGAAGCGAAGCGGCTGGCAGGGCGGCTGAGCTGGGCAGGCAGCGCTGTCTTCGGCAAGGGGGCTCGTGCATATTTGGCAGCGCTGCATTGGCAAGCCCACAGGTCCTCGGGGACGCTCACTTCTAGAGTCCGCACAGCACTGCAATGGCGGTGCCGGTTCCTAGGCAGCGTCCCCACGCGCCGGGTATCGCTCCAGCCGCTATCTCTGCCCAGGTGTGTCGTTTATACGGATGCCGCAGGGGATGGCCACATGGCTTTTGCGATTGTGCATCCCGCTTTCCGCGCCTGGGGGGCCACCAGGGTGCCTCAGGAGGCGTGGGCGTGGGCGCACGCGCGCCGGACGCAGATAGTGCTTTGGGAGCTCGTTGCTGCAATTTGTGCTGTGCGCTGTCTGATCGAGCATGGGCTCGCTGAGTGTGAGATAGTCATGTTCGTCGATTGCAATCCAGCCTTGCATGCGCTGGTTCGCGGAGCGAGCCGGCAAAGTGACTTAAATGATGTGATCACCGGTTTCTGGTTTGAAGTGGCCAGCGCGTGCATGCTTTTGCACGCTTTCCGAGTGCCTAGCAAGTTAAATATTGCTGACGGCCCGACTCGGCAAGAAACTTGGGACGAATCTGTCTTGGCTTTTCAGTCCCGCGGATTCCGTCAGCTCGAGTGGGCATGGCCGCCCGCACTGCCTTGGCCACCGTAGTGCTGTTGAAAAAAATGCATCATCTGAGGCCATTGCGGCCAAGAGTGGCTGGATGCGGGTTTGTAGCAATGTTTGCGTTTGGACTCTCGTCATCAGTAGCCGGTTTTGCTCAATGCTTGAGTTCATTGCCGGCAGTCGGGAGCGGGCTGCCTTGGCAGGCGGCGATGCTGCCCGGCAAGTGCGGCCGAGACTGCCCGAACCGGCTCCGCAAGATACCCCCCAGACTGTCTTGACGCAGCTGCTCAGGCGCGCGGCGGGCATCGCGGATGTCCCGGTGGATGTACGCACGGTAGAGGCAAATCTCCGGCAGGAAGGGGCCGTGGCGCCATCTGATTTCTTGGGCATCACGCCCGAGGAAGCT